TGTCGCGCCATGTGGGTCACCTCCCTGGGCTGGGATCCAACTCGAGCTGCAATGGCTGCCATAACTTCACAGTGCTGTGCTTTAACCTGTTTCTCCACCAGGGAAGGCCTTGGGAGAACTTTTCAAACTGTCACAAGTTTGAGTTTATATAGATAAGAAACACTTGAGTCATCGATGCCCAAAAATATATAATCTTTCTGGAGAAGGCCTGATCTTTTAATTTCTAAAGTTATTTGACCTAAAGTTATGTTGATGTTACATATGCACAGAGAAGGGTCAATATTGGGGTCTAACCACTTTTCTGGATTCTAAAGAATGTGCTTTTGAGTGACAAGGCTGGGTACCTTTGTCTAAATTTTTATCTGATTCCTTGGTTGTTAGTGTTGGTCGAAAGACTGGTTTATCTGCAGACAGCAGATTTTTACATAGCTGCTTTCCAGAGCAGGGTTGGGCCTGTGGAGATGTCAAGTGTATGCAGGCAACTTTGCTCTCTTATCTGCTAGACTAGGAAGGAGTGTGGAGGGGATGGATGGCAAGAGAGTCACAGAATTAAAGGAGTTGGCCAGGCCTAAGTGCAGTGACTGAAATGACAGTGAGCCCAGAGGAAGAGGAAAGGGCTGGTACCCTCGGGGTTGAATGGAGGAGGTGAGCTAGCTAAAGCATGGTCCCCATGGGCAAATTTGAATGTGTCCTGTGTCAGGGTGTCCTTTAATAATAGAGTGAAAACTTAGTCTGTGCATTTTGTTCAGCTGAACAATGCTAGGAGACAGAAAATAGATAAGGGAAACTGATAGAGTTGCCATGGGAACCTTACCCAGAGGTCCACAGGACCAATAAGGGGCTATGGGGAATTCCCAGGAATGAGGGAACAGGACAAACAGAACCAGGCAGGACACTGCCTCTACAGAAGGCCCACTGAAAGCTGGTGTCCCAGCAGATTGCTACGGTACAGAGATGGACTCCCCAGTCATGAAAAAGAGTCTCAAACCTTCCTTACAAGGTATTTCAATAAACCCACCTTTTTTGTTCTCCACGCTTTCACCCCTATACCTCTGGCCTAATACTAGACCACCACATCCTGCATTATAGGTGTCAATGATGCTAGACTAAGATAGACCAATCTGAAGCCTAGAATGTGTCTTATAATGTGGTTTTAGATTTTATTTCTGCTTGATCTGTCCCATCCGCTTTAAAAATGGAACACAGCATGACAGTTCTGGCTATTTCGGTTCTGGTTAATCAAGATTTTGGTGCACTAAGATTTTGTCTAATTAAAATTAGTTATAATTCTAGGGTATTTAACAATGCCATTAGGCAGCTCCACTGTTGCAAATGGGGAATGGAATCGATTGTGTGTGACAACAACATGCTCAGTTCATCATTGTGACTCTCATGGAGTTAGCAAGAAGTTCTCATGGCAGAAGAACTGATGATGGAGCTGGTTGCACAGCATCTCCAGCCTCCTCCCTGGGTTCTGGGGGACTGAGGTTAACACTTCAGAAATCAAGGGAATAATGATAGACAGAGTGAAGCAGCTTGAGTCCTTCCATCAGCAATAGGTCCATGTCCTCGTCCTGAGTTCCATCACATCAGTACACCCTTCACTCTCACTTACTTATGCAAAACACTTTTTCCCTAGCTGGGAAGATGTTTTTATATACAGATTTCTTTTTAGACAACTCCCCTCTATTGTCATAGATATCCCCTCTCATCTATTCTTGAGTTATTCTTGGGACTAATGTGGAAGAGATATCAGAAATGACCTTCTCCTGGTGGAGGCCTCTGATGGGCTCCTCTTCGATAAGTTCAGAGATGGAAACTGGCACATTTATAGATGAAATTTCTATTTTATCAATAATTCTCTGGCTAATGTTTTAAGCTAGTATTTGTAACACTGGCGAAGAGCTTTGGGATAAATGGGTTTTAATAAAGAAAAAGCAGTTTTAGAGTGCTGTGTTGTGAGAGGCCCGTCAAATAAGGAATGCAGAGGACACCAACAAGTGGCAGAGCAGGCAAGTCAGCCATGGAGAAGTGGGCGAGCACTCAGCAGTGGCAGCTGGTCCCCCCAGGCCTGGAGTCTGGCAGCATGTCTGCCACGGCTTCTGTCACTTGATGTCCATGCACAAGCCTGCTCCCTGTGCCTTCCTTTCTGAAGGTGTCGATGGGCCCACCCTGTAGCCAGAGAAGGTCAGTGGCCTCCCCCCTCCCTCTGCCTCGCCTTCCCTGTTTATCTCCCACCTCTTAGCAGTGGGTTATTCTCCTATTGTAAGTTTGACAAAGTAGAACTTTCGTTCTGCATCACGATGATGATGGGGATTGCCTGTGGTCCTGGAGTCTGTGTGAATAGCATGTTAGGGGCCAGGTAGGTAATTCCCTTCCTGCTGCAGGCCCAGCAGCATGCCCCAGGTAGTAGAAAAGATGAATTTCCAGTGTGAAGCCACTCTTTCCTTACATGACATTTTTTCCTTTAAATTCACGCCCTACTTAAAGTTTATACTAATGCCCTTTATTTCATAAAGTTTATAAGTGCCATTGTTTTCGGTAGAAGTAGCCCATGCCTCCCACTTGCTCAGATGTGCCCTGTGTTCTGTGGTGGCAGCTGCAGGTGACTGCTTCTACCATTGCTAATTTTATTGGTGGACATTTCACATTTGCTGGTCACTGGACTGGCACTCAC